TGATCTGAGATAAAAATCACAATGCAATAACTGAATTCAGCGCTTACTGAACTTGACTTAGTTTCTCACAGTAGAGGATTTATATTTCCACATATCAAAAAGCAAATAACAGGACAAACGTGGGGAGCAGGGGGCATACATGATGATTCCTCAGAAAAGTGCTTGTGGCTGAAAGAAGTGTGCTCTCCCTGGGAAGAATTTCCCTCTGCCCAAGCAAAAGAGTTAGCAAATGGGAAACAAACTAAAACAGGCATGACTGATGGACTTGTTTGAAACAAGCCAGCCTGTAATTTTTATTAATAATTAAACCTAATGCATTTCCTACATATTTATTTTCCTGTACCTTATTTAAAAGCTAAGAAGCAGCTCTTTATTACTACAGTCCGCACTATCTCAAATCTTGTCTGCAGGCACTCTTCGCAAATTCATTTTGGGATATACTTTCTGACTTACTAATTCCATTAAAAATCCGAACACATGCAGTATTTTTTTAAAAACAAAGAAAAATGTAAAAAAAAACCCCCTTGTGCTCACTTATTTTACTAATACAGACATATTTCATTATTAACGTAATGCTTCTAGATGAGAATATATTCCTGACATTTTGGCACTGTTTAGGAACCACTTCACTAAAGACAGAAACTGGTCATTATCCAGTATTCTAGCAAAGATCAGTTAGATGAGAAGTTCGATCATACATGTAAATATGGTAAGCAGTGATATTTTAAAACCACCATTCTCAATAGCACAACTAAAACTTGATATATAGATGAACTCCTTGAGTACTAGTAGTCTAAGGTTCTTTAAGAGGATGAAATAGCTTTTTTATTGCATACTCACCTCCAACTTTTCCAGAAGAAAGTCCTTTCTTGTGTAATTCAATGCTGCTCGAGCTGTGCTTTCCCTTCCGTTTCTTCTGTTCTCACTACTTTCCTCACTCCCAATCCCAGATTTCTTTCCCTTTCCCTCAAGCAGATAATGGAATTGCTTCCTCCTGTAAAAAGTAAGAGATTTAGTGATTTACTTATTGGATTTTTCTTATAAGTGCAGATGTTTCTAGCAATTGTGAGGTTTTTTTCTTTTGTCCCTCTGAACACATACTTTATGAGCTTTCAAGTCTATTGCATTCTCAAGCTATTAAAAATATATATGACTCTAGATATTTCTCTTGATTTGCTTCTATGCAATTGACTTTTTGACATATATCACATAGCATCTCCTAAGTAGGAAGTTTTGCAGGTTAAACTTCTATTAAGTAAATCTCTATAGAAGACTAAACCAAGGTTTTTTAAGCACCTTTTCTCTTACAGCATCAACTCTTACGTATCTGTTAACTGTTAATGGCCACTCACTATAAATACCCACAAAAAATAGCAGTCTTCATTGTGAAAGTCCATAAAGCTTCGCTAATACTACTGGTTTGGCAAAAAAGTAATTGTGTTCTTTTCTGGGTAAATGAAAGGCAAATTTTTCATGGGAAACACAGACTCTATTAAACAACATAGTGTCCATTTCATTCAATTATCTTTTCCCATCTCAGGCAAATTTTTCATGGGAAACACAGACTCTACTAAACAACATATTGTCCATTTCATTCAATTATCTTTCCCCATCTTTCAGGCAACTTCACAATTTGGAGCTCAAAAAAGTTCTTAACTTTTTCCAGCAAAAAACCAGTTCCAAGAATGATTTGATATCCTCATCAGTAGTGAGTATTTTACCATTCAAAGCATTTTGTAAAGAAGGAAACAAATGGTAGCCCGATGGTGCCAAGACTGGTGAATACTGTGGATGTGGTAACACACCCTATCCAAGCTGCCACAATTCTTGACGAGTGACCAAACCTGTGTGTGGTCTAGTGTTATAATGGTAAAACACAGCACCTTTATGATTCACCAATTCTGGATGCTTCTGGGTGATGGCATCATTTAATTTATCACGCTGATGACAGTACAGGTTCAAGTTAATGGTTTGGTTCCTTGGAAGCAATGCAAAATTTGCAATACCTTTGAAATCCCACCAGACTGACAGCATCACCTTCCTGCGGTGAACACCTGCTTATGAAGTGCTCCGAGCTGGTTTATCACACTTGCTCCATGATCTTGCATTTGTCATTGTTGCAGATGATCCATTTGTCATCAACTGTTATCATACATTTCAAAAACGGATCCTTTTCCTCACATTTCAAGAGAGGATCGCAGATGTCAACAAGCTTAGCGAGGTGAATCTCTTTGAACTCACGTGGTACCCGAGTATCAAGCTTCCTAACGTATCTAAGTTGTTTTAAACAATTTTCAACGCTCAATTTCCATATATTAATATTATCAGCACTCTTGTGTCATTAAACACATACCGGATTCAATCAATGTCTTTATTTTGTCATTACCAACTTCGACTGGCTTTCCTGTGCATGGTGCATCTTTAACATCAAAATATCCAGACCAAAATTTATCAAACCAGTTCTGACACTGCTCCAGTTTTAAGACATCTTCACCATCCACATCACAACTTGTGAGCTTGCACAGCGTTTTTTGCTTTTTGGCAGCATATCAAAATATGACAAAAGTGTTCCTTTTGATTTTTCATTGTGAAATCGAAGCCAAACAAATAATTGGTAACGAAATCATGCACTTTCTTTTTAATAAACAAGCTTGAACTGTCAGCTGTCAAGTTACACGATGAATTTGTCATTTAAAATGAAGTCAGCTACATTTAAAGACAACTCTCTCCATCTAATAAAAAACTCCTCAATTACTTTTTGGCCAAACCATTAGTACAGTTAAAGAACTAAACACGCAGTACATTTGTTTGCTTGTGTGTTTTAATCTTACTCAGCAGTGTTCATTCAACTTCTGTGAAAACCTCTGCCTACATGAGTCAGGAGACCTCTGCTTATTGCAGAGTTAACATCTCCTGTAAAATGTTACTTGTGACATTTTTATCTTTCTATCTACAAGGAATTTATCACAGTGGTGTGCAAAAGAGTGAAGCAGTATGTTCTGGACAAGTTCTAGTTCAGTTCACTGTATTTTACCTAGATTCTCCAAATAATGAAAGCATACGATAATGTGGCAGCTCAGAAGATGCTACATATGCCAGAATGCCAAAGAGCCTTTCTGCCATTATAATATCATTTTCAGTAACCTGTAAGGAAAGGGGGAGGAAGGGAAGAAAACGGAAAAAAGTTAAATTTCAAAACCAACACATTCATATTTCATTACTTATGTACATTAAGAATTAACTAAAATTTGTTATACAGAACACTGCGTACAGATCTGTTCCAGGTATATCTTCAAAATGTAGATTTGATTTTACTGGCACTTCAAACGTACTTTAAAAGAAACCAAATGAGGCACTGGTGCATGTTTTATTTCCTGTAATTCTATAAACTTAAATGTATACACATGCTACCTTGTGATTCATTATAATCTTCATGAAATGAGGAATTTCATAACGATTTTTAACACTGAGTATCTGAAAGCCAAACATACTAATTCTGCTCCATGCCACATGGACTAAACAGAAGGTCTACTGGAAAATCTGTGATTAAGTTACGCTGGAGAAGTTAAAAGATTATGGGAACCCACATGTGGAAAGATAAATCACAGTCTCTCTTATTTTGGCAGCATCATAGAGACCCCTTTATAGAAAGAGGCTTTAGAGGGGGAAAACAACAACAACAACCACCACCATCACCAAAACAAAAAACGGAAACAGAGTATTTCCTCTGCATTTTTCAACCCCTCAAAAATAAGTCTTCTCCATTTTACTTCCCTAAATATCATCCCTACTGTTGTGTCAACATTAAGTTACAGATGTCTCCAATTTTCAATGATTGAAGATTTTTCAGGATTAGTTTTACACATTTCAATTTTGCATAAAGAAGGCAGAAGGGATTTACTTTTCGTTGGTGCTTGTTACTAGTTTTTTGTTTGTCATGGCTCAGCCTCTGGAGACCATGGCCTGTGTTTCTCCTGCCCTGACAGCCAGACTATGAACTGACTTCAATTGCCAAGAGTTTGTTGGCACAGTTTCCAGACTCCTGGCTTTCCAGTGAGCGCAGACGAGATCTTTAGGATCATCTAAACCTGACCTGGATACCACAGGACAATGACACTCACTCAGTGGCTTCTTAACTTCCAGATTACATTTAATTTCCGTTTATCTTGTAACATATTTTTGAAAGCAAATCATTATTAAATAAACTTCAATACTCACAATATTTACTAAGTTCTTCCAGAAAATTTTTGTGTTTGGTATTATCCAAATGTGCAAGTAAACTGGAATTTTGATTCAAATTAATGTAATTTTATTTTATTCTTGCTTAATGTTTATAGACTACACAACCTACCCTTGCCTAAAGTATACTGCAACAACATAATGCAAGGAGAAATTCACTAGAGAACAACATAGGTCAGGAAATGAGAAATATAAAGTCAATTCCATTTCCACAGCATTCAGATTTGCTCATTGACTTAAAATTATGTAAATCTTAGTAACCTAAGAGCAGATGACCTCACTAAACGGTCTGCTAACAGAAGCAAGGTCTAGAACAAAGAACACAGAAGGCAGCTATGGAAACAAAGACCATTGCAGGCAGAAATGTCTGCTGGAGAAATAAGTGATTTAATTTATTTATTTATGTTAAGAGAAGCATAAGGACCAAGTCAACAGAGACAGCAATGCTGAATGCACCCTCTAATTCACAAACTCATGTTCTCTACCTCACTTCAGTACATTATTTGCTCCATTAATCACAAAAAGATTTACCAGTAATATCACACAAATGTAAGTCTATCATGCCTGCCTCTTGCCAAGTACAGCAAACAGGCACCAATTCAGTAAATGCCACGCATCTGTTATGTTGTATGCCGCACCACTTGGTGTAAAGCATTTTGTAACGTTCAGTAACTTCAAACCTTGAGATCTCTTAAATTAATCTGAGATCGCCATCACTGGGAAAAACTTCAAATAGTCCATCTCAGCGAATTTGCTTCTTCACAGTTAGTAAATGTAACAAAGGAACAAAATTATTGTTAGTGGGAAGACAAACGCTCAGCTTCTAGCCTGGAACATAACTGGAATGGAAGGGCAAGGTACACGAGAAAATAAAAGCTTCCTTACACAACTTAATTGTATTTTTTTAGGTTTAAATGTACAAGAGAAATGCAATTTAATTCAGTACTAATGTCTAGTTGGGGAGTAAAAACAATATATAACTCAGAGCTGGCAACACGGTCTTCACAAACATTGCACATAAGTGATGAACAAAACAGCAGCACGCACACATTTTCCTTTCAGTCATTTGAAACTATTATTTAGGGCTGAACTAAGGTCTGAGAGCACACTTCAGGGGTTTGTGTTCTTTACACCGGAATAGGATTTTCTATTACAGATTTTAAAACAAAGCACAATATATATCTGCAAAGCTGGATACCATGACTTCTGCTGTCGACTAATGAACAACAGCAGAGTTAATCCATTTCATCCGCTTGGCTATGATGCTCGTCAACTCATTAATGACACTAGGAAAGAATTTGTGTATGCACATCTTCACGTAGTGTCGTCTGGCTGAAAAAGCTTGCTGAGGACAAAAATGTTCTTCAGGCACAGGTATTTCAGACTTGATACACATCCTACCTACGTGTGCCGTGCTACACGTAAATCCACTTACTAAACTCATCCTCAAGCACTATTATAGTCAAAGTTTTCCTTCAAAGACTGAATTTGCTGACCTTGAGATCATAACAAAAAGTTTATTTAAATAGTTCTGGATTTTGGATTGTTTGTGTTTGCTTTTTGGTTTGTGTTTGTTTGTTTTATACTCTACTTTCACAAAGAGCAAACAGTTAAGATTTATCTTCTACTTTCTTTTCATCTGAATAACTAGCGTTTATTTTTAAACTATGATGCAGTATAAAAGAAAAACTTTAAACCCACATTCAATCTATTTTTTCCCTTTTAAAATCAACTTTGATGGGCATTTTTTTGCAAAGTACCAAATTCAAGATCATTTTAAAGCTCTTGTGGGATTACTGACTACCACTATTATTTTTTCAAGACACTGTGCTGTTGGAGTGAGTCACATTTGCTTTCATCCTTCATCTTCTCATTCTCTCTGCTAGCTAATTCAGGTAAGCTCTGTAACTCACTCCTGCTCTTCTGTGCAACTAAGACATTTCACAAAATTAAAACCAAGACTCGTGCTATGGCTGTATCACATAAAGTACTGAATCCAAAACATATGATTATGATATTGATGACCAAATTAATACACTAAAGCTACGTATTATTTTTGCTCTAACTTCTGTAACACCACTTAGAACTTATTTAGCATTTAAAACTGAACGCATGTTAAAACATTGGGTTGCACTGTAACTGTTCTTACTCCTTTTATGATCAAAGCCCTAGTATAAACCATTTTATATGCTTGAATAAAAATACTTTCAACTCATGTAAAGAGGAATACAAAGTACAAAGAATAGCAATATTAGTGTCTTAACTTTCTATTTATTTAAACTTAAAACACACACCCGACCAAAAAAAAGACACACACTAACAATCTTGTTAATAGCAAGCAAAAAAAAATAAAATCATTTCTTTCACAGACTTTTTCCTGCGATAGGGTTAGAGAAAAAAATGACTTGAGGTATATTTTGTTACACTGGAAAATTAAAATGATATATTGTAAACTACTAAGTATTCTGTCAACTTTATATTTTGTACAAGTATTCCATGTCAGTACCGTGATCATTTTAAATGTAATTTAGAAACACATAGAGAAATAATAACAAGAAGTCTTCCCTTCAGGTAAATCCCAGTGACTCAGGTATAGATTTGGGCTGTTATTTGCAATTGCAAACATCTGAGACAGTTCAACATTTCTATGGCAACTAGGAATCTTATTAACTTGGGGGACTGTAATACAGTGCAGTTGGACTTAACAAATGCACAGCACAAGAAAGGATATGGTGAAGTCTACTGAAAATTCTTTTCACCCAATACTGAAAGGGCACTGACAGGGCTCTGCTCATTTTCTTAGCAATTCATCTGCTTTTTAAAAAACAAAGCTAATTTATAATTCAGAGCAATAGTAAGAAGGAACACTGTCCTACCTTTACTCCATTTATCTTCTGTAGATTAAAATGGTTCAGTCTAAACAGAACATAGTACTTCCACAAAGTAAAGTTGACAACCGGATTTCCCTGAGGATCAACTGTCAACTGTTCAATCCGATGCATCTGGGCTAATGCATTGAACTGCTGCAGCGTCACAAGATTTGTCTCCTTAAACTTCAGGTGCTGAAAAACAAGTTAACGTGATGATTCCTATTCTGTGCCACTCAAACAATTTTCAAACTCAAGTAAACAGTCTTGAGCTCACTTTATTTGAGGTCTTTGTGGCAAAATGCATCAGTGTATCAACCAATTGGTTTATTAAATGTATTTAGAAGCATCAACATTATAAGCTGCTACGCAATTTATAGACCATTTAGAAACAGCACAAATAGTTCCTGTGTTACGAAAAGCAATGGTACTACTTGAGCAATGTTTATTTTAAGCCTGCAAGTAAAGCAGCTGCAACATCCTCACATAAAAATAAGTACAATATACGTTTTTAAATACTCTGCTTTTTAGGCCATAGCAGGCTGGCATTTAGTCATACTCTGCTGTTTCTTTGCAACATGCCCTACACTGGTACGCCTCTAAGCATGGTATAATTGGCCACATAGTAGCATTACTGAGGGAAGGGGAAGTAGAAAAATTGATGGTGAAGGTAAAAATTTAGCTAACCCCTACAAGTGTTTTCCCCGCACTGAGATGAGATACATTTGTGGGAAACTTAAGACAAAATTTGTCTTGCCTCAATCAAACCATGAAGCCTGTTACACTCAAAATCTTAAAAAGAAGCAGGGAGCTCAAGAGACATACCACCTGAGTAACAAGCTGTTGTCTGTAAAGTTATCCCTATTTTACTGTTTGCTTAAAAATGACTGATTTAAATGTCCAAGGGAAAAAAGGAAAAAAACCTACTAAAGTGACATCTCATTTATGTTGTTTTGCTTCATTAAGAACTGAGGAATTCCAAAAGCTGTGTTGCTTTAGCCAGCTACTGCCTTCAAATTTTACCTCTCTATTTTTATCCTATCAGCTTCTTAATCTTTGAACTCGCAACACAATTCAAGGTCTCCTGATACCATGGATCCATAACAATATTGCAGAACAATAATGAATTTACACATCAGTTTTGCAACTTAAAAATAACCAGCTAGGTCAAAGGAATTGAGAAATAATAATCAATCTGAAAAGAAAACACCATCCTGTGTGAGAACCTAAATTAAAGTCTTGATTTTTAAGAAGTATCAAGTTGAAGTTAGCTTTACAGGATAATAGCAAGCAAACAGGCAATTCACAAATGTATCTATTTATATGAAAGCACTCAAGGGTGACTACGCCAAATTAAGGTTCTATTGGAAAAATATACATTCCATAGCTGTTCACACAGCTGAAGTTCAGGGCATTCTTACCACAGAATTAGGAAATTTCATCTTCAGTTTTGTTAACACTTGAACAATTTCATCAAATTCTATGAACATAAAGGAGACTGTGACAATAATTCCAGCTGTTTGAACACTCCAGTTTCGATCCAGGCACTCCAGCGCTCCAGCACCATACAAGCAAAGTGTGTCTCCTTCCACTTCCACTAAGTGAGACTCGAGAACAGACAAGCCTTGTACTGCACTGCTCAATATGGTATCAAGAGACCTGTGGAGGAAATAGAAAGGCAGTGATATAAATCAATTATTTTGAGATAGTACCACTATTCTGTTCAACAATAGTCCTTTCATTTACCACAACCCAACTGTCAAATATGATTGCATTTTTCAGCATTCATTCATTTGCAGTACCCAAGCTGGTTCCAAAACATCAAGGCCTGGAAAATTCTCTTTTCATCAAGTAACATTGCAAATGTTGTACTACTTTGGCAGAAAGGCTCTGAGTGTTATTTGAGTTGGGCCAGAGTGGGAAGGGGGGAAATAAAGAAACTAAGAGATCACTCATATTTATCTGCCTAAAAATTTTAACTCAGAATGCTAACTTACTTCATGTTGCCTTAGATACCTAAAAACAACTTCAAAAGTCACCTTCACCTTCTCTGTGCTATATGAAAAGTGAAAGTTATGACATGAATAATCGCTTTAAGAACAGACAAAACCACCAATCCAGGATATTGCTATGCGCAGTACTGAACAGTTACTTTTATTCTCAAATAAGAGTATCACCCTTTCCTCAAACCCATACGTCACATTATCTGATCAGGATAACAGGAGTCATCATTCTGATTAGAGATGAGAATAATCTTATGGCTTATTAACCTTGTTTACTCCTTAATTAATAGGAATTAATCTTTTTGCATCTCTTCATGTCTTCCTTCCAATGTGATACATTCAGCTGATTAGACCCAAAGTGCACAGAGAATTCAAGATGAGCACAAATCACAGGTTTAGAAAGCTGCATGATGTTTACTGTTTTGTTCTTTACTACCTTCCTAGTATATTCCATGTATTTTGCTTTTTTGACAAGAAGTGATCACTCAACTGATATTTTCTTGACAAAAGTCAACCAGAACTCCAAGATTTCATTCTTGACTGGAATTGTCGAGAGACTATCACTTCATATATGAAGCTGTAACTCCTTATCTATGCTGAATTTCACCTGCCATTTTATGGCTTAATCACTCATTCCGAAAGTAACTTCTGAAATTTTTCACTATTATAAAACACAGAAGTAGATCAGCAACAATTATAACTTGGAGCAGGTTAAAGAGCAGTAAGGCTTCCAGGCAAAAAATGGCAGTTATATACAGCTACTTAATTCTAACACACAATCTGATTAAACCAATATATACCAGTGATAATATCACTATGACACTCATTTCTCTAACCAGCCATGAAAAAGAGAAAAATTCTAAACTTTAGTCTCCAATTCAGAAAACTAAAGGCATCGTAATTTGCATAAAATAGTAATACATGCAAATAAAGCACAGGGTTTAATTTGTTAACACCTCAGGAGGTTGAAATTTGATATTTCATTAAGGTAACCACTTTGATTTCAAGAACATGAAAACAGATTTTTTGCATTATTTTATTACTGTAGATTTGACCAAAGAATCCTAACATCTGTGGTCAGGAAACTACAAGGAACAAACCAGTTTTAGTTACTGTATCCCAGCATAAGTGGAGATAGCCATTAAGGTAACCACTTTGATTTCAAGAACATGAAAACAGATTTTTTGCATTATTTTATTACTGTAGATTCAACCAAAGAATCCTAATATTTGTGGTCAGGAAACTACAAGGAACAAACTGTATCCAGCATAAGCGGAGATAGCATTACACCAAGATCTTTCCTACAACTCCATGGAAGAAGTCTTAATATGTTATTTAAAAGCATGATTTCTCAAGCAATGAGAATCTGTTCATTAACAGGACAGTGACCAAGGTACCATAGTTACCTTGACTTGGTCACAGCGGATTATTACCAACACTGAACTAAACTGTTAAGAAACTAGGGAGGCAAGAAAGCAGTGGCTAAACATATATTGAGGGGAAAGCTTTGGAAGCACAAGAACAGAAAGAACTACAGCAATTTAAAAATGCTAAATTAAAAAAAAAGTTTCAAAAGATGCAGCACTTGACTGGAAGTAAAATCCAGGTCCAGCCAATACCAGACAAACTCAGAGAGGTTCTGGGTGTGAGAGGCAAAGACTCCCTACCTGTACCTGGACCTACCATCAACAGTTTCGATGTTGATCGGGAACAGCAGGAAGCTGTACTTGCTGTTGAATTTGTGCAGGCTATTTTTTCAGGCTTCTGCCTCAGCTAGCCAGGCTGAAAGTACACTAGTTTGGTTTTAGCCAATCCAAGGCACACATTATTTGTTAAGTTGTGCATTTGGTGTTTAAGCTATATAGAATACCAGACAGCCACAAAATGCATCCGAAAAATAATATATTTTAAACCAATAATACAAAAATTATCTTAGAAAAAAATATCTTAGGAATGAAACTGAGTCAAAGAACAGCTACTGTTAAAAATAACATGGATATGAAAGTGGTCAAATAAGAGATGCTGCTGTTCAAACTAAGAACACAAATTCAACATGGTGTTTATGAAACCTCTTGATACACAAAGAGGTTACAAGTGTTGGTAATGCCAATAGATCCTCAATTGGTTAATTTCAACTGAAGACAACAATCTAAGCCATCATAGAAATGAACAGCTTTAAGAAGACTCAAGAAGTCATATTTAGCATTTCTTGCAAACACAGTCCTCCCTTATTTAGCAAAAATCACACAACAATTTAGCTTGCACTTCTTTAGTCAATGAATTGCATTTAACATCTATTACTTATCACTAATGGCCGACAGGTTTAACCACAAAGCAAAACATCTTTTCAGGGTTGATTTGGATATATTACTTTTGATAATGAAATACAGTGAGATCTCAGAGGTGAGAAGTAGTAACCTGGAAAATAAGACATGATCAAGAAGTATTTCCCAATAAAATACCTGCTTTCTTCAGTAAATACATACGCAGCACTGCCATTGATCTGACAGGGCTCATTATCTTTATCTTGATCTAAAGAAGCCACCAGAGCTATTTGATTCTGCTGTATCTCCCACTGACGAGCAATATTACAAATTGTTAACCGCTTCTTTTCCTAAAAAAAAAGGATATAAAAGTCACAGAAAGTTATGACAGTGCAGTATAAACACACGTGTTTGTTCTAAAAGAAATAAGCTGCTTAATCAAAACATTTTAGATGTTTTAAATTGAAGAAACAACAGTACTGGTTGGTGGTTATGCATTAAAATCAATGCATCACTCTCATGCTATCTTGCATGACTCCTGGAGCCACTTGTAATAGTCCTCCCACAAAACAGGGCAGACTGCTAGTAATTTCTACCACGCTGCTACAGCAGCCTTAGTACTTAGAGCAGTTGCATAACTGGAGCTTAAGTTTTAGCAAGTAATTGCAACACACTCTGGCATGGGGTGGAGGGAGAGTTATCTTATGAAAAAAGGAAAAAGTGAATTTTATAAAAACAGAAAATGAAATTACCTTTGTGACAGACAAGGACTACAACAGATCTAAGTTCAAATCCTTTACAGTAGTTTAAGTAGTTTTTTATATTCTAAACAATTGGTCAATGAACCAATTTTTCAAAAGTACTTGCACTTGTAGAAGAATCCTGTCCATTACCTATGATTCTATACATTCTAACTATTCTATTGTATGATTTAGATATATGATTTAATATATCCAATTTAGCCTACTTTGAAAGGTTAAAGAACAAGGTGCTTTGTTAGAGCTAACTGACTGGCAGCTGAACTCTCACCAGATTCATACTGCACAACATAAATTATAAGTTAGGTATTTATATGAGTACCTGCAAATCCCTCACGCTACAGTTGTTAAACACCATGATCTGTTTCAATGACTGATGATGCAGAGATAGATATCCTAGACTTTAAAAGCTGACAGATAATTATCTATAACTGACACAAAGTACATGGAAACTGCTTTAAAAGTGTTCTTTTGATTTTGTTTTCCGTTTTGAAGAGCTCAAAATTATTTCTCATGCAGATTGGCCAAAAAGTTGTGATGTTATCTAGTTAGAGAACACTAAGCACTCAACATTTCACACTTCAGTGACAACTGGGCTCCATGTCACAGAAAGGACAGGAAGCGGAAATAGGCAGCGTTTTCTTCCAATCACGTTTAGAAAATTGAACTGGAGAGTGAGGGTCTCCACATAACCTCATCTTCCATCCAGCTCCATTAGCCCTCAGTTGAAGGCTGGGGGATTCTTACAGAGCTTAGAAGAATTCACTTTACAAACAGCAAATCTTAGAATTGTGAAGATTCTCCTAGCAAGAATATTTACTGGAACAAGAAATAGTTAAGTTCAGCTTCTGTTGGAAAGAAATTCTGTTCTCTGTACATTTTGAGGTACAACTCAAACATTCCTAAAGGAGTGGCTGTTAAATAATCTGGAAAAAGAGAGATGAAGGAACTCCACCGTTAGTGTAGACAAGTATCAGCAAGGGGAAAAGAGATGACATTGCTGAAACTAACTTTTTTGATGTAGTGAATACAGGAAAACAGGAATTGTTTGCTACTGAATGAGTGTTTATAATTTCATTTACACCGCATATAGTTGGAGGAAAATGATAATAAAAATTACAGAATATGATTCACAAAATATTTTCTTTAGATTTAACTACAAAGAAAAATCCTATAATTTCTGCAACTTTTTTCCACTGGACATCGTATCTATGATCACATTTGTTCCTTTGAATTCAAATGTATCGAACAGCAAAAGAGACACCAGAATCATAACACATAAGAACATATTTACAAAGAGAAGATATACAAAAACCACCAAATCATGCAATCAGTATTTGGCTCTCACGCCACTTAGCATTTGAAGATTAAGATACTCTGATTAAATTACAAAATCCACATTTTAATGTTGAAATATGAGTAACAATGATATTAATTTTTTTTTCTTCTAAGGGAAGTTTCCACTAGCAAAACACACTGAGAAGTCTAGGTCATCAGACAAACAATCCCTCTGCTACAAACATTACATCAATGGTTAAGCATATGAACTACAAATAAACACTGTCAATAACCACCTACTTTTTTTCCAGACCACAGGCACAGTTAGCTTTTCAACAGCGTAAAATAACACTATCCCTGAATGTTATTTACCAATTTCCTATTTCTTTATGTTACTAAGAGTCAGCACTGAAACTTCAAATTTGAAAAGACTTGAAATCACAGAACGGTAGAGGTTAGAAAGGACCTCTGAATATCATCTAGTCCAACCTCCTTACTAGAGCAGGATCACCTAAAAAAGATCACATAGGAACACATCCAAGTGGGCTCTGAATGTCTCCAGAGAAGGAGACTCCACAACTTCTCTGGGCAGCCTGGTCCAGTGCTCTGTCACTCTCACAGTGAAAAAGTCTTTCCTTATATTTAAGTTGAACCTCCTGTGTTCCAGTTGATGACCACTGCCTCTTATGCTGTCACTGGGCACAGCCACGAAGAGTCTGGTCCCATCCTCCTGACACCCACCCTTCAGATATTTATAACCACTAATGAGATCGCCTCTCAGTCTCCGCTTCTCCAAGCTAAACAGACCCAATTCTCAGCCTTTCCTTGTATGGCAGATGCTCCAGTCCCCTAATCATCTTAGTGGCCCTACAATGACACATATCAGTATCTAACAGAAAAAGAAAAAAAAGCAAACAAAAGAAAAAACCTAGCCCACAACATTGCTTAAAGAAAAGACTACTGTATTTAACACTTCTTTATTATATTGGTTTACACATTCTTAGGCAGTAGACATGGATTATTTTTTATTTCTTATTCATGTATTCAGGTTCTTGGGGTTTTTTAATATACTTAAAGTGACTTTCAATATACAGTTACCATTCTGTTTGCATCTTTATTTTTCCAGAGTTATATACACTTGCTACACTTAATTTCCTTCATGAAATAAGATTTCACCAAGTCAACTTAACAGTACTGATACATGAACATCTTTTGTTTGTCTGCCAAACTGAAGGAGCTTTTTTGTATAACCACTTTTTGAGAAATGGTGATATTCACATAACAAATGGGATGCAGATACTCTCAGAGCCTAGAACGCTGGTGTCTTGCTAGCAGCACAGGTCATTTAGTCACCAGCCATGGAAGAGTATTCTGGAGTGCACCTCAGCCTCCCCTGTTGGAGCTATTCTATATAAGCATTAACCAGGCCAGGTAGTCTGGTAGATGAGCATTCTTCTGAAAAAGACTACAGCTGGAGTCCAGCTGCTGCTCTGATGACTGCTTAACTTTTTCTACAGAAAAAGGAACAACTTCAATGGGAAAGAAAGAAGGGAAAACTACTTCAGGATATCCTCCATGGCAGCAGTTAGAGCACTCACCTGAAATGGGGGAGACAAAGTTCAAGGCATTTGAAATCACTGAAAAGTCCTTTATCTTAGTCTGCATTTACTTTATCTCTGGATTTATGAAAATCAAGTTTGCCATCTTTCTACACATAGCACGCATGTATTCAAATGGGGGATTTTTTGCTAAGTATAACTTGAATAGTTGGCTAAAGAGAGTTTCAGTTCTGGAATGCACTGTTTAAGCTGTAAAAAAAATAGTTTAAAGAGATAGAGGCATATTGGGAAATGTTAGAACCACAGCAAAAAACATTAGGATATAGATTATTGCTGTCAACTGGTCTACAGTGGGTTTAGAACAGCTACAGAAAATACCTTAAGCAAGTTCTGTTTATGGCTTTCACGCTTCCTTTCTTCCTCTTTCCTTGCTGCAATAGATGCCATACGTCTTTCTTCTTCCTGGATTAAAAAAAGAAAAGCAATTTCATAAAGTAAGAAATTAATAAAATTTTGAAAATGATTACTGGTAAATTATGAATATATTTTTGTTTGTATTTTAAATGCAATTTTTAAAAAAAAATAAATTTTAGGATATGTAACTTCTTAATGTTTCTAAATATTATTTAAAACAATAAAATTAGTAATAAGTAAATAAAAATAATTGATATCTACTCAGATGTAAATACTGAAGATAAGTCTTTGAAAAAGTGTAAGTCATACGGTATGACAGTGAAAAGTACTGTTAAATAAAATTATATGCATTATAAAATATAATAGTGCATTATATCTTTGTAGTAGCTTCTGTAATTAGTATGATTTTTTTTAAAAGAACATAGAGTGAATGAGCTGAATTCTATTTATGGTTGAGTCATAATCGAAGATTTGTTTTCAGCATTAGAACTGTCTTTCCACAGGCTTACTTTTCTCAATCAGCAACACAACTTGAGAAGAAAACAGCATTTTCAAAGTTAACCACAGTACATTAATGTTACTTCTCATCAGCATTATTACCTATTGAAGAAGAAGTTTCAAGAAGAAAGTCACTGATTCCTAAATAATGAAGGTCATGTAAGTGAAGATGCTTAATTTTCCTGGTACAGCAATTTAATACTGCAGTACACCCATATTAGGTTGGATACTCCCTGTTTACAGAAGTTTAAACGCTTCCACAGCACTGTATTTTTAGAATGTATATTTTCCAAGTAACAAAAGAAATGTTCACTATGAAGCAAGAAGAGCAGAGTCCTTCCAACACAAATATTTGGGAAGTATACTTAAAACTTATTTTGATTTACTTCACAAGCCATTTGAGTGTTTCTATTAAAGTATCTTCCCAGAACATGCAGAAAGAGTTTTGATTTCCCTCTAAACAGAAAGCTCCTCTGCTAACCTTTTCACAGTCACTTTCCAGAAAGTTATGTGTAAACAAAGTCAGCAAGCAAAAGTGAACAGAAAACATCATTAACCATGAAGACATATCGATATATCAAAATTTCTATGCAAATAAAACGTGTTATGTTTAGAGCATTGTAAGAACTTCTACGCATATCTGTAGATGCTTACTGGAAGATAAGATAAAATAGAACAGGATCTTCACATTTAACATCACTATTACATTTTCAGAGAAAATTTCCAAAGCATAAGAAGTTAGATTCGCATAGCAAACTTATCTTTCTACAGGCCCCCGAAACCCACTGAGATACCATGGATTTGGACATCAACCTGAACAATGACTAAACAACAAACTTCCACATTGTTCCTCCATAACTTGAACCTAACATGCATACATTAAACAAGATTAATATTTTATTAATATTAATATTTTAAGGCTTTGGATAGACTAAGCCTTCTCCAACCCAACTCTATGCAAGAACTTTCCTGGAACGCTAATCCAGCACTTTCCAGCCTAACATTTTTTTTCTTATTTCACTCTGAAAGCAACCTCTGGCTTTCTGAGGGTGAAGTTTTATTGGCAGTCTCCTCTGCTACTGAGCTTTTCAATTCTTCCTAAACAGGGTATTACCAAAAGGCTGGTGTCATAGAATTACAGAATAATTCTGGTTAGAAGGGAACTCAGGAGGTCACTAGTCCACATTAAAGGAGGATCAACAATGAACAAAGCCAGACAGATACCAAAGGCCTTCGAGAACCCAATACAACAAAACACCACACAATGAAACTCAATAACCGAAAGGGAGGGTTCGGAGTAAGGCTATGAAAATCACAAAATAAACCCCATACAGGTGTATACCACAAACATGAATGTATAATTATTAATGCAGAATAAAAATGTACTGTTCCTCAATACATTATTCATAGTATTAAGAACTAAAAACATGATTCTCGTGACAGCCATTTATCCCAGTAAAAAAATATAAACACTAGAGAACGACATTAGTAATCTCTTTCTGCAAGTGAGTTAGTTAGAGTTCTTGTGGGTTTTCCTAATTTTCTAAATAAGTCTCTTCATCTGACCTTGCATTTGTGCTTTTTAACTTGGCTTTCCAAAGAAACAATCTCTTTACAATTTCAGTGTCTTAATCTTCTCTAATGACTTTTCAACACATTAAATAACTTAAAGTATGTTTAAAAGACTCAGAAGGGTTCTTTATGTTCCCCAGAAGTTTGATTGTATAAAGTTGGTACGTAGAAAGAAGAGAAATGTAAACTAGTTTTCCCACCAAGGGAGAAGAAGCAGAAATTATCCATTCCATTTGGCAGAAAACAGCTGGCCAGTCACCACAGACTCAGATCTAAACTAACTGAGCTATTAGTGTGTTACACACCGGGGAAGCGAGAATTAGAGAACAAAATGGCACTGATCTGTAGGAAGTTAGCCCTTATTAATTTTATTCCCTTCAAAACAACTTAAAAGTTGGTTGTTGGTTTTTTTTCATTTGTGGGGTTTTTGTGGTTTTGTTTTGTTGTGGGGGGGAAAGAGGGAGCATTTTAAGCTTTAAGGAAAAAATACACAGTTCCCTAATTGCTTTCTGTCAGCTTTCACAAATATTTCTTCTTAGTCCACCTTCCATCTCAAAGCCTTCCCTTAATCCAGTCCAAATGCATACGTTATGACACTGTCTTCCATACACGAGGGGCTACTGCCCTCAGTCAACTTAGTCCAGTATACGAAAAATAAAACAAACATAAAACAAACTAATGCAAATTATGTTCTAACTAGAGTCTTATTAACTAAGACTTCTTTCTTGATCGAGAGTTTATGCTAATTACAGGCACCTTAAAAATACTAATTCTTCAGTAAAAAGAAATTAGCTCAGCTAAATATATCCCAGTTTTACTCAGTATTCATAAAGGCAGAATGATAGAGAACATCTGAACAAGTATCAAGGGCCAAATCTACTTTTTATGGAAATCAAATCTGCATACATTTCTTGACAGATCTTAGAAAAACACATGCACTCGATCTTGAAGAACACAGTATCCTCACCAAAACCTACAACACTCCCTCAAAAGGTCCCTGCTTACTGCAGGGAGGTTGGACCAGATGATGTTTAAAAGGTCCCTTGCAACCCAATACATTCTATGATTCTATGAAAACCTACTAAGTTAAAAACCAAAGCTCTTAGCCTTGCCACAATACATTTTTTTTTATTACCCCTTCTCTTTTAGCTCCAGCTCTTTCAAAATTATTTTCATCTCCCTTTTTCTTTGTTACCCCTCATTACTCTGCTGCTATTGTCCATAAACTTTGTTTCGTCTTTAAACCAAACCATGATGGACAAAGGGGAAAGCGTTTCCAGTAGGTCAAAGTGCCAGATCGCTACAAAAGGACTTGAATGTCCTCTTGTATACCGAAATCTCCTCCATTTATTATGACTACGAGATCTGTCCATTTATGACTACGAGATGTGTCTCCATTTTTTACTTTTAGTATTAATTTAGTATATTTTTGCAAGACAGAATTTAAGAGAGAGAACTATGATCCACAAGAGTGATTCTAGAAGTAGAAGTAGAAGTTCCTGAAGTATCTTAACAGTAAGTGGAAAGAAAAAAATTGGGACCCTTTCTAAAAAGAAAAAAAAAAAGCAAAACACAAAAAACCACCAACCAATCAACCACAAAAAAACCCAAACCAGAACACTACCCTGGGGATGGATTCATTCTGTTCTGGGTAAAGCAGGAGAACCTATTGCCTGCATAGCAGAGAAATGTCTAAGCAAATAATCAAAACCAACCACAGCTCTCTTACATTAAGTATCCAAAACCTATAAACCCTCAATGAAAAGCAGCAAAGTTTCACTGTTAAAAAGATGCAGCTTGCCTTTCAATTTGGGAACAACAGCACCTTTCAAAAATGTATATACACACACTATAAACTATACATGCACACAGATATAAATACCTATTACTCAGCAACTTCAGTTGAGAAAGTGTATTTAAAGTGACAGATCACAAGTGCTTCTGGTTAAATAATTTCTCAGTAAGGAATGTATACATATTTCACGAGTAATTTAGTGTTTTATTACATGTCTGCAGATATATCTGCTTACTGTTACGAAAGACTGGAGAAAAAAGATAAGCCACAGTTAAACTGTAAGCGTCACTATAGGTCCACTTTTCAAAATTTCAAACTACAAGAGGTATTCAAAATGCTTCAATGCTTAGAAAAACAACCACGACAGTATGCAAACCAAATAACGCAAATGACTACACATGCAGCCTGAGCCTGCTTTGACGGTAATGCGCTTCAATTTCACATAAGCCTAGTTCACTGATGCATAAATCAAGTCACATTACCTCACAACTAAGTTTGACTAAGGGTGTCAGAGAGTTACTGATGGTTAACACAGGTAAGACAGTTATCTGTCCAGCCACTGTAATTCGGCCACCTCCGTCTTCTTTAAGGCTCTAGATTGATCTCTCCTACCTCACAACTAAGTTTGACTAAGGGTGTCAAGAGAGTTACTGATGGTTAACACAGGTAATAGAGTTATCTGTCCAGCCGCTGTAATTCGGCCACCTCCCTCTTCTTTAAGGCTCTAGATTGATCTCTTAAAGCTTCAAAAAGCAAAAATATTTCCACTGAGTTGATGTTTTAGATACACAATACGAAGTGGCTGGGCTTTTCAGCCGAAAATCGCCTTCTAGTGTGGACAATGAGTAAGTGTTTACAGTCTTAGAGTAAAAATCGTTACAAACCACCACCAGGTCCATGCCTCAGTGGTTTAAGAGCTTAAATCTTACATTCAAAAGTGGCTTAGGAAAGAGAGAGCCTAGTAAAACACCAACTTCCTCATGAGACAAGGTTTAAAAGACGTCATATTATGATGCAATTCCTTGAATAAAGGCAAATCTGCCCTGACTTAAGAAATAGTAGAACAATTAAAGACAAAAGAAGTTTCATTCCAAGTGCAGAGTATTTCATTTTCATGGCAGCTTCATGTTTCTGAGTAGTTCCCTAAGGCAGAGGCAGTTACCACCAGACTTTTGCTCCAAGACTCCTTTTCTCCAGAGAATCCTACAGAAAAGGCCTGGCACAAAAGAGCACATCTTCTTGAAAACCAAGACAAATAAAGCTTCATAGTCTCTCAGAGACTTTTGAAAATATCCTTCAGATTTTTTTCTATTCTTTCTTTAAATAATTTTCTTGTCCCAGTAACGCCAGCAAGTAAGAGATAAGTTAAAAGCAAAAGTAACAATTGTGTAAAACTGAGTTCTTGAGCAGAAGAGATTCTGAACTGGTTAGTGAAAAATTCCTGGTCAGAAAGAACTAACATCCCAGACCAACTCTCAGTTCTTCACATGACAAAGCAATGTCTAAGTTCAAAATGGTCTGGACACTATTCAGACTAATGAAGAAAAGATCCTACAAATGTAATTTAGAGTTTTAATCTACTAATCCAAGTGAGAAAAAGCACATAAACAATACTGTACTTCCATTTCCCCACCAAGTTACATTTACCCTTACAGTCAGTGGCAATAGCATGTTGCATTACTAGGCAGAATAGCTAGATTTGGCACTGTCAACTCTCTAATTTTATCACAAGTCTCATTATACTTGTTATTTAAAAAAGAAAAATAAAATCAGAATTTAAGTCATATGATTATCTGGGTAACGGGTTTTATTAGAGAAAACATACAGTAGCCTCTACATGGAGAAAATGTCAAAAAAGTTCTTAAGGCTCAGAAGCTGGAAGGCAAATAAAAAGAATGCAAAATTCTTTTTACAAGTAGATTTATGAGCAGCACAACTGGTAAAGCCTGGCTTTCTATGGCTTTTTTGTCTTGTGGTCAACTCTCTAATGTTTAACAAGGTGTGAACCCAGATTAAGCTTTTCCCATGCTGTGTTTTTAACAGCTTTTTCCCAATACAGATCCCATAGAGTCTAAAAAGGAGTTTGAGCTCTTTCTGCAGTTTCTCCCATCCCTGACAGTTCTACCATAATCCACCTCCTCTTGAGGAGGGCCTAGAGCAGGGGGAGGGAGAGACATTTTCTTTATGTCACTCAAGTTTCTGAAATAATACTGAAAAAGTGATCTTTTAAAAAGCAAAGCAATTAGGGAGTATTTCATTAAGTCAGCGTAAATTCAGAAAAGAAAAAACCCAATGCACAGAATACCTGTAAACAGACAAGTATTTGGTATTTTGCTGGTAGTAAAATCCATGTCCCAGAGCACTTAATTTTTAATTTTAAATGTTTTCCACGTACATGTAACATTTTACATCATAACTGGCTCTATTTTATACTCACAGTACATTTGCTGTAGGACAACAGGATAGAAGGTAAAACAACAGGTGCAATTTATAACGCAGTACAGCCCTTATAAAGAAAACGAGCATTTTAAATAAGGTGCACATGTTAGCACCTAGTCAAAAAAGATAACACTGCAACACTGTGGCTTACAGAGCATATTAAATGTGTTATCTTCCTGTTGGATGGATTTCTCTTGTAAGAAGGTCATGCTTACACAGTAGAATTAGCATGACTATTCCTATATAAAGCAGTTGACGAAATGGTAAGGCCTCCAGTGATTGCCCTTCATCCTCTATCTTCGAGTGTATTTTCAGTAAGTCTGTAGGAGACTTAGTTGTCTGCAAGTCCTCTCTTCCTTACCAAGGTTACTTGAACTTGAGCAGCAAAACCAGAAGTTAATTGGGAGAGTAGGTTAGGTAAGGAAGGGAGAGATAGACACACACACAAACTGTGTAATCACCAGGTTTCCTTATAAAAGGCAGACTGAAAAAAGAACAAGATTTTTAAAGTAAAAAGATACCTATAACACAAATATGAGGGTAAAAAGACTATTCTTTTGGAAGACATATGGTGCTCCTTTTCAACTACACAGCAAACCAGTAAAGACTGATGAGAAAGTTCTAACAGAAAGCTTTGCTGATTCTCTCGTATCACATGGCAATTAATTGCATGGTATTTACTAACAAAGAGTTTAAGAATTTGAAAATAAACTTGTTAAAATGAAGTAAAAAAAGCACACGTTTACATAATACTGAATGAAGAAAAAAGGTTAAAGTTGTAAATATTTTAATGTCTATACACCATTCAATCCCATACTAAATTAAAAAATGAAGTGGTACTTTTAATATACATACATACAGAGCAGACCCTACTTTTTATTTCTCTATTTAAGTATCTAGGAAGTTTGACAAAAACAGAAATTTCTTACTGTGATTCTCTTCATGTCTAGCTGTCGGAGCTGCATCATATGATGGAGAACAGTGTGTTTGTACCATGTCTCCTGAGCTATTGGATTGCCATCAAGGGTGATATCTGACAAAGATGAGGAATCAGCAAGGCACAGAATATCCTCAAAACTGTAACCAGAAAAATGTAAAGTTTTTATGCCAGAGAGAAGGAATAATTTTGAGACAGAAGAT